TCTCATCACTGAGCTACTAAGTTAATCTTTTTTACTAATTTATTCGAATGGTTTTAGCAAATTTGTTTGTTTTTCTCTTTATTTACTTGTAGTTTCTTACCTTATCCAACAGTTCCCTAACAATGCCGTTCCAGCGTCCTGTGACAGGATCTCTCGCCCCATACATGTTATCAGGGACCAGTCTCAGTCTGTATTGGAACCCAGCCCGGGCTGCCACTCTGGCCAGCAGATCTATGCAGAATCCTTCGAATCTAGCGTTGCCTTGAAGATTCCAGCCTTCTTTTACCATTACGTAGGGTTTTTCCTGTTAAGTAGATGATAATGACGTTAATTGTAAAATATATTACACTTTTATTTCAGTTACTAGAGAACCGCACTATCTCAAATATTTCAAAAGCATGCACAATAAATTTTACGGAGATCGAACCAAAAACTTTTAACATGAGACAGAGTATAAAAAACCGTAACGAGTCATAAATTTAAACATTTATTTCGTTCATCCAAACATTTAATACACCTTTAAAATATATATTTCATAGTAGGACCAAATTTATCTCTCTGGGGTAGGCCTCAGATAAATTATGTTTGGTATATGTATGGAGTAAGACTCAAATAATAAGTAAGGTCCGAGTAAAATACAAACTTTTTAATGTCATATTCGAAATATCCATGTTTGATATCACACATGCTATAGTGACCTTATCAAAGGCCTTACAAAAATCCAAAAAACTTAACTCACCTCTACAGTCACTACAGTAAGTGTAACATTAGGTGGAGGATTTCTCTTGTAAGCTGCGGGATCAGTTATAATCAACCCATCATTTGGAGTCCAATGTCCGGAGAGAATTGATCCTCCGTCTTCACCCCCTTTTAGTCTCATTAGTTGAAGATTGAAGTTCGTGCGGAGGCCGGAGGTGAACTCTATTGGACCGGAGAGTCCTTGTGTTTGTACCTAAGAAAATGGATTGGATATATTACATACATTATAAATTATTTGTCATTCATTGGATGGCGATAAAATTTTTAGGAGTTGTGGTGCCCATATCCCAAAAGTTTTTGAAGTATTAGAAAAAACGAATCTACAGCCGAAAAAGTTCTTTTGCAGGTGCACTTGTCCATAACATACCCGACATTCTTTAAAGCCAAACGATATAGATATGTATTGGCAGTGGAGAAATCGGAGTTTAAAAAGGTTTAATTTGTTTGCAAAATTGATTGTTTCTAAAACAGGAGTTGTCACAAGACTAAATTATAAATTTGACGTACAGTATAATATTAAAATGCCTATAGATAATGTTGTTAGGCTGCACGTGTAACATGTACATGTCAGCTATAAAACCTAAGGGCGCGTTCCTATCATGTCGTAAAGTTTTATTTATCGTTGGACGACTGTCGCGTCTAGCTGTTCCCACTGGATCGTGACAACAATTTATCGTTTCACAGCAGCCGCATTGTCATTTGCAGGTATAAGACAACGATAAATCATACGTGCCCACAATAGTAGCTGCGATTCATTTAGTCACATTTCATTTAGCCCCGGACGACTGTCGTCCCATTGCTTGACAGTCTGTCATCGCATGGTCAAAAAAGTCGTGAACGACAATTAATGGTGTTGTACTATATGTGAACAACTTCATTTAAATATACAAGCCACGACACTTTAAACTGTACGACTATCTGTCATCACGACCTAATGGGAACGCGCCCTTATGGCTTGGTAATTCAAGTTAGTTTTATTCTTTTATCTAGTTTTCTATAAAACTGGAGTTTTTATTTCTTTACTATTTAAGTGGAATAAAATCGGATTTAGAAAATTCATTTCATAGCTATCTATATCAATACAAAAAATTTATACCTTATTAATGTTCTCCAACAAGGCGCTACCCTGCGACCAAGGAGTTTCAGTATCGCAAGATGTGTTAGTAGGGCTGATGTCTTTTGTGTTGGCCAACGCGAGGGCAAGGACTTGTACTGCATCGTAGATTAAGGCTGGTTCCGTCTGCAAAATTAGATACAGCGCCATGTATATCTTAGTAGAGATCCTTGTGAACGAGTTCGTCCAAAGAAGAAGTATTTCTATATAGATTTTAAGGCTTTCGTGATTATTCACTAAATGCTTATAACTAATTTCAGGCTTCTTACCACGGCAAGACTACTTTTTATTTTCCCGATATTTTGGAACGGTTGCACGCTCCATGCTCATGGTCTGGATGGCGTCTTTAAGAGCAGACTCATCATCATGTCATCTGCCGATGTCCAGTCAACCCGTGACCATGGAGCATGCAACCGTTCCGAAAGGTCGAGAAAATAAAAAGAAGTCTCACCATGGTAAGAAGCCTGAAAATAGTTATAATCATTTACCTATTTATGCCGCCAAGCAGTGACGTGTGCATTACTGCGTTTCGGTTTTGAAGGATAAGGGTGCTGGTGGAATTACAGGCATTTGGGATTTGCCAATTATGTCTCAGAAACTACGGCACTACGGCAGTGTCTCTCATATCTTTGTGTTACAAAGCTCTGAGTGGCACTGCAACTTTATGGACAGGGTATCGATTACCACCAGGTTAATAGTATATTAAATGAGCCTGTGACTCAGCTATATAAGACTACGATCGTATGCGTTGGTCTAAATAAATGTCTATTCACTCTAACTTTAAAAATAAATAGTTAGTGCATATCGAGTACATATCGAGTTCATAGGTTTTCGCGATTGTTACACATAGGAAATGAAACTATTTTTCCGGATTTAAATCGCGTATATTTGTTTTCTCAAACAAACCGACGTTTCGGGCCCTTTACAGGTCCCATGGTCACGGTTGACTGAAAAAACAAACATACGAGATTTAAATCCGGAAAAATAGTTTCATTTCCTAGTGCATATATATTTCCACTATTGGACACATACCTCCTCTTACAATAAGAGGCCTTGAGCTATAGTTCCCACGCATGCCCCATGCGAATTAGGAACTTAGAATTAAATTGCTTTCCAAAAAATTTGCTTCACGGAAAAGCTTGTGGTAAATTTCAAATTAAATTTTGCACAAAATCAAAACTCAGAGGTGCAAGCCCGAATTCAAACCCGCGACCCCCTGTTTGAGAGGTGGTTGGTCAAACCATTAGGCTTCCACGGCAACTCTAGCTTCGAATAGACCTAAATCAGACTTTTTGGGAAACATAGATTTTGGCATCGTAATTCTATTCATTCCTGTGCCACCAGGATGGGCAGTGGGTAAAGATGCAATTAGCCCGCCCGGGTTTGAACTGGGTTTTTTCCCAAATATCTGGTTTTAATCCATTTCTGTCCAAAATCCTGGGTAGAACGCTGATTGAAAAACGGTGATTACGGAATTTGGTATAATTCCATGCATATTACAGAATTCGATGTAAGAAATGTTTTTTACATGAAAAAGATCCTTACAATACCTACTTTGCAATCCTGAGGATTCTCACAACTAACGATGCACATTACGATTAAATTTTTACGAACATCGATTCAAGGGCATACGATCTAATGGTTTTTTCAATCGATTCATTTCAATGCGATTTTCTAGTGAACCAATTGAATAGAAAGACAAATCCAACCGTTTAGATCAGAAAGCAATAAACGTTTTGTAATTAATATCATTTTGAACGAGACTCCATTTACAATATACATTTGAAGTCCATTTCAATAGGAATGATTCCGGTGACGTTTGAAATTTGAAGTTTGTAGAGATGTAGTGATGTAAAATTGCAGGAAAAAAAATTGACTTAAATATCTTATCAAGATAATTTGTAACGAAGAGGGAATCGATTTACAGAAAATATTTAAGAACAACTAATGAACAAAGTAATGGTGTAAATATCTATGGATAAATAATCCGGTTTACGCATCAAGCTGTTGGGGTAATTTATTTTTATATTTACTATTTCATTTTCTATCTACATAATATACCACAATTTTTACTTAAAATTACATGTAATTACAACAAATATTATTTGATTTTGGTACATTATAACAAATTTACTATGTATTTTTGTAACCTGGTTGACAGGTTAGTTATAAATCGTATGCGTGTAACGTAAAAATTAGAAGTATCACAAAACTCATCCCTATTGGAATGGACTATAGTAGCAAATAGTTTCTGCCCTCGATTTTCGGTACTAATGGGTATTAACCTGTTTACCATACATATAGGGACAGATGTAACAAAGCGCTTTTTACTTATAAGTGGTATATCAACCACAGAAGGATGCTTTGTACCTTAATATGTCCTCCGCTAAGAATAGAAGCCCCGATAGGATGAAACTTCTCCATGACCTGCAGTGTCTCTTTGACTTTGTTAGACTCTCTCTCTATAATCCTCCATCCGCTCATGTTTACTCGGTTATAGAAGAAATCTTCAAGGTCGAACAGCTCCATGTCCTGAATAATTATTATTACACATAAATATTTATAGCTGATGGATTAATCATACCGGTTTTTTTTTATTTAAAGCCTAATTTATTCGGAATCGTCCTTAGCTATATTTCTTGAGCATCTGTGAATGGTCGCAGGTGCCATGGACACAGATATACAACCACAAATGACAGTCAAATTCACGAGAAAAATAAAGGCCATACAAATATTTCTCCCGGCCCGGGAATCTAAACCAGAACCTCTGCGTGTCAGACCAACATGGTAACCGTTCGGCCACAGAGGCAGCTGAAAATCAATATGTCAGTACAATAATTTGGTAACCTAGATATGACGCTGTTACCAACACAGAGCAGATTACCCAACACCTCAAGTTTTCGCAGCAGGACTATCGTGTTTGGGCTCATTAAACTAATTTAGGAGACAAGTTGATTTCCAGATGACGACTTTAGTGTTTTTTCAGAGTACACTGTTTCGTATCGAAATTTAAATTTTTTTACTTTAATTTAAACCGTATTAATTAAGCACATGACTGCAAAAGACAGTATATACTTACAAATGAGGTAAATATGTAATGGTAATTTTCGTTGTTCATTTGCAACTGAAGAATCTGAAATTTGAAACAATTACATTTAATTGAAAGTTGAAAACAATACCAGCACTAAAGTTTAAAAGGTCAGAATCCACAATTTTTATGATTATGAAGTACGCATTTGACCTCCATCTCCCTGATGGAAAGTGTCGAAGAAGTCGATGATGGAGCTGGCAAAAGCCTACTCACTGTCGCCTTGAAAAAGCACAAGTTATTGCTTTCAAGGAATAAGTCTGCAGGTAGGGAATTCCACACCATAGCCGTACGCCGAATAGAAAAGTACAAGCGAAATTAAACCGTGCAATTCTATCGCACAGACTCCGTGATATATCCTATAGAATATCGATAAGCAGGCAACTTTACAGCGGTGTTCAAGGCTCTAAATTAAAAAGCCACATTTAAAAAGGTCCTGGATATCCAAAAATTACCACATCCCAAAATCGCGTCAACACACTTACAGCTCTATTAAGATGGGTCATGTGATCAGGCCTTGTGTGCACGATGATGTGTCCGATCTTCTGCGCTTTGAGCTGCGCCAGCGCACGACGATACTCGCGAGGTGATGAGCATCGTGCTACGTACATATCGCGTCCGTCTTTCGCCAGCTCTAAGATGTTGAAGTCACCTGAAAAGATAAGATCGTTCTTTTAATCGTACCACTCTAAGTCAAGACAATAAAGAACGAGCGATTGAAGCCAAACGTTTGATTTTCAAATGAGAGGTAGCAGCAGTAGAGGTCCTTCTGAAAGAGCTCGTCCAGGAAAGTACTGGTATCATACCTATGTCTGATACTAAGCAGTACTGTGTTACGATTCTGAAGGGTAAGAGTGCTGGGTGAAATTATAAGGACATGGAACTTGTCAACTTTGTGTCCCAGGGTGACTTTTCACCAGGCGCGCAATTTTAATGTTCTGGCCACACAGAGGCAGCCGCAGGGGCGTTCCGGGCGCGGGGGTTTTTGTAACGTACGAGCACAACGAGTTTGTACCAACCCTGCCACACTGAAACTGGCGCGGTGTAGGGCCGAACGCTATAACCATCGAGTATACATATAACCAGAAATAGAGAGGAAATGTCATTTAATTTGTTTGAAAACTATTCTGCCAAATAATTACGATGACAACTGCGCTCCAATTGGCCAGCCCGAATTCGAAACAATTGACGGGTGTCGTCAATTGTTTCACTTCAAATCGACCAGTTTACCTTTGCTACAATGGACAAAAAATGAAAAATTGCATGTTTAATATTTAATTACCGATGAAATGTGATTTCTTTTCTTTTGTAATTAGATTGTTCTTTTTACCACACCACCCAATGGAATAGCCCTCCATTGTTAGAGATATTATCTTTATTACAATAAATACAGAATATTTTTGGAATATACGGAGACGTACACACAGGTCAGTTGATAGCGCTGTACTATTTCAGCTTTCTAATTTGTGATTTCAACGCAAACGGAAGTTGATATTTAAAAGTGATATAAGGCCCATTTGCCTAGTGAGTTGCCAGGGGTGGATGGCACTTATTTCGTCTGGTGCGGGACGGACTCAGGGCGATCGAGGTCCGCAATGCAACCGTCCACGGGAGAGCGGGGCTTTAGCGGGCTTTGAAGTTATATTTTTTTACAACTTTTGAGTGGGGTTTTATTAAGGTCCAATACGAATTCGACCGATTTTTTTTTGCTTACGTAACGCTAATAACAGCGAGAAAATTTTCTTGATGATTTATCTGACAGCGATGTGGTTTATTCTTTAAAATCTGTGTTGGCAGTGGCCGCCTTCGATCCGCTATTCCGCCGAGAACTTTTCTTCGAACTTGGAACTGCTGTGTGGCACGCCCCGATACGCTTTCGCTTCCCGCAGATTCGCCCCCGGACTATTTTTCCCGCTTTACCGCCTCTGCGTAGTTTGAGCCTAAGTCAAAGCACCAACACTGTAATGTGAATAGGTTCTGATGTGTTTAATTTACGCTTCCGGTGCTCGTTGGTTTTTGTAAGCATATTTATCTGGTTTTCTATTTCCCAAACTAGTCTCTGCCGCCCTCCACTGGGCGCTGAAGAGTGCTAGCGTAGGCCTCGAAAGCAATCGAGGAGCGCTGATGCTGAGGGTGCTAAGGTATTTGAAAAAAAACCTGAATTATCTGTGTAAACTTGCCTACATACTTAGAATAATAACACATAGAATGATAGTTCATATCAAACGAACTGTCACAAGTGAGGCAAAAATCAAATTCATGTAGGCTAGTTTTAGTAGTAGGTTAATTTTCGGTTTTAGAGAATATTTATATAAAAATACAAGTTGAAACGCGTTACTTCCTTGTGGAATGTGATGTTAGTATCTATTTTGTTTGTCTGACGTATTTTTACACTCATTTACCGCACATTTCGTCATTTTTAGCTAAAATTCTTGATCTGTTCGCGGTGCAAGTTGGCCTTGAGCACTGAAGGCCCGCGCGCTCGTGTAGGCCCATTGGGCGCGCTTCAATTTGCCTCACTTAGCGTGTGCGGACTAGGTTTCTATGCGTTATTATTCTAAGCCTACATATAATATACATTTTGTTTGCCTTGTTTGTGACCGTTAAAATTTTGTTATCTTGCCTAAGTTAAGTTAAAATTTGGGAGCCTATGATTTAGTATTTCTCATTGTAAGTGAATATTTGTATTCTGTTTTGAAGAATAATTGTCTTAAAAAAAATTAAATAAATATTTTAAATATGATAAATGTATTCAAATGTATATTTACAAAGAGCAACCCCTAGAGTTTCTTGCTCATTCTTTTCAGGGGAATCTGCCTTACGAATGAGCAATAGAGTTTAATCAATATGACGATTTCAAGTATAATTTACTTACTCATGAAATAAAGATGATTTCCGTTTAAATTTGAAAATAATCTCCTTATGGATGATTAGTGTTCAATAATAATGAGTTATAGATAAAACGTCATTGTATCGCTTCGATTTAGACGACGTTACTAGGTACTGATAGACGACGAAACAACGTTTCGTCATTGCCCTAATACGTGTAGTGTGGTGATACGTAATCGGATTAAGACGATGCCTTGTCGACTAATTTACGGCACGCTTTGTACGTAGTTTGTAAGCTACAAACATTGTAATTAAAAAGTACTAAAAAACGGACTTAGATATTCAAATTTGCACAAATTAGAATACCTAGGTCATAATAAGACCTAATAATTAGAATATTTGAACTGTTTAATGTTATTTCAGGTTGTTTTTGCATTGTCTAGTAACTAATTATTGCAAGAGGATTTACCTGTAATTGTTTTATGCATTTAGTTTTTAGTTGTTCCTTGCATAAGTTCCTATATTTGTAACAATGTTCTCAACCGTTGGTAAATTTTAATAAATAAATAAATAAACACTACTACCAAGGCACTCTCTTTTCAATAAAAAAAAGAATCATCAAAATCGGTTAATACGAGTTATCGCGTAATGTACATACATTCATGGATAGCTAAGATGCAAGTAAGCAATTTTACTTAGTTTAGGTGTAATAGTTTAGATAATAATATTTCAGAAAAAATAAAAAACATGTGTTCATTGATAAGTTCTTAAATACTGAACGTAGGTGCATTAATAGTTAGCTTTAAGGAAAGAACATTCTTTGTGCATTCTATATTATAAATGAAACGGCCGTAAGTTAAGCCAAAACGGAGATATTTCAATTATAAATAATTAGTCAAAAACAAGTATTGCACCGTTGAGTTATCATTTTATTCTACGGGTTGCAATAGTACAAGTGGCGAAGATAATAATTACATTATCATCTTATCCTCGTAAACATAGTAAGATATTTTTTTGGAAAGGTCTTTTATTTTGCTGTTAAAATGAAACCATGATATGATAATCAACTTTTGCTTTGAAACGGGAATAAAATATGATAATTGCGTGTGTCGTTATTCCGCGTAATTATTTCTACGAGAGCATAATTCTATTGTCATTAAGAAACGTAACTCATTTAGTTTAATATTATCGTATAACCTTATTCTTGTGCACTTGGGCATGGGTAGAAAATTTGAATAATATTGTATTATTTTGTTATTCCGTAAGTAACTGCTTAAAATTCACGAAAAAAATTGAAAAGATGTATTGGTAACTAAAGATTTTAAATATGACATGACACTAAAACTGTAAATAATGACAGTTATCTTTTTGTTCTCGGGGTATGGCGGAATGTAAATAAAAGGTTATTTAATAAGATTCATGTATTTAGGTTACATTTTTATACAGAATAAATTTATCTTTGTCTTTATACAGTTAAATTAAGAACCCTTTTTTGAAGTCGATCAAAAATTTTGAAACACGATCTTTTACGAATCTTTCTGAAGAAATATTTTAAAATTTAAGGTTAATTGTTTATCTTTTTTATTAATAATAACAACAAACTATTCCACAAAAAAGTAAAAGAACGTCATAGTCACCCTCTTTACTATGAGATAAGTCAGTCTTTTTTCCTTGTAATATTATTCAAATATTGATTGAGAGCTAACATTATTTCTAAACTGACATATCGTCGGGTATAGTGCAAAAACGCGTAACTAGCATTGGATTATAAGTTTCCATTTTGGTAATTTAGTGGCCAAATTCCCGTAAATGTCTTGGCAACCAAATTAGCGTGATTTACGGGATACTATTGTTACCAGTCCGTAGACAACATAAATTAATGCTTACTGTGCAAAGATGAAAATCGTAGCCTTTGAAATGACACCGTAATAAGGTTAAATCCCTCTCCTGTTAAAATTGGTTTAGTGCAGATACGAGATTTTATAGTATAAGTGAAGACTGCCTTACGCCAATATATTTTAGGTCCTGGACCTGTTCGAGATTCGGGAAATCACTTAAGTACTTTAAAAATTGACGTAATTGGGGACAGGCAGGTACTAATATCAGGTTTCTTACCACG